CAGAGTTATGAAGTTGGACTGGCTCCCTCCAAAAAAGAAAAGAGGAAAAATAAAGCTTATTGTATTGTATGTGTGGGGCAGAAGTACTAGGACCGAAAAGAAATTTAGTTGACACTGGAGGAATAATTTTATGACTGGATTGGACCGACATTAATTCATCATCATCCAAATAATTGAAGAATTAATAAAAATAATAATAATAATCAATCGATCTATATTTTTTTAGTTGAAGCTGTCTTATACATTGTATTTTTTTTGTTTTTCAAGGGTTTAATCCCTTTCGAGGCGGGTTGGGCACATTAAGTGGGTACCTCTCTCAACAGGAATTCGAACCTGAGTCCGCTACTTTGTATTGATTAATCCCTTTCAATAGACCAATCTATATTCTAACGATCGAGCAGTATTATTGAACTAATTAGCTTTTTCTTTTTTAATTTGACTAATAATTAATTAACTAATTAATTATGTAGAAGTGTATGTAATGCTATCTATATGGTAGTTGATGGGTCACGGGCCGTATAAGTTGTACACTGTCGGGACTCACAAGAATATGGACCGAACCTTAGGCTGGCCAGCCCATTCATTAATATTAGTACTAGTATTATTAGTATATTACTAGGACTGTCAATTGGACCTTATGAGCCGAGTTTTAAATAGTTCGAACTAAATATTGTCGGGTTTTATAGCTATATGCTCATATTCGGCCCATGTAATTTTTCGGGTTTCGGGTCTATATCGAATTTGTTAATATAGGCAAAAATAGCTTGACGTATAAACTATTTAGATTATTGAAACACATATGAATAGACTACTATTACTTAATACACGAGTATATATCATTAAATAATATTTTAACTGAAATATTGAGTTATGTGTCCATATTTTTTAAGATACGTTTGATCTATTTGAACAAGAAGTAGAGTTTTAAAGTCTCAAGACTCCAATTTATTGACCTTCTGTGTTAACTTTTACTCCCTCCGTCCCATTTATTTTGCTCCCTTTGCTATAGTACCCGGTCAAACTTTTCAATATTTTAAGTGACTTATCATATTAAATTATTCACATTTGTGGAGTATTAAACCTTTTAAATATAAATATATATGATGTCATATGATATTATTAACTTATTAGTGGAATATATTAATTAAATTATTTATTATAATTTTTATAAATTTAGTCAAGTTGACTGGTCAACTGTACCAAGGGATAAAAATAATTAGGACGGATGAAGTATCTTTTTTGTCCCTTTTTTTTTATATGCCTTTAGGTTTTGGCCTTCAGTACGTAATTGATATACTAACATATATGTGAGTTTGTATTATGATTTTTTGTAAAGTATACTTGTTTCAAAATAAAAACAGCAATTAGTAACTATACCTGCAATACAAATAATTAACTCAAGCTCAGCTCATAAATTAATCGGGTTTAATATAATGGCTCAAACTCGATCTGACTCACAAATATTTGGGTTCGAGCCAATTTTAATCAGGTCGAGCCATCCGACTTCGGGTAGGCCCGACTCAATTGACAGTCCTATATATTACTATGAAGGGTAAATTACGGATACCCCTCAAGTAACATCTAATTACAAAAATTCCTTAACGTATTGGGTATTATAAAAACCACTCCAGGTTTATTACCTTTTTACAGTTAACCCCTTATCCCTAAAATGTTCCAATTTTGCTCTTGAGTGTTATTTGTAATGTTTGTAATATCTTATAAATATTAAAACTTATTTATCGTGTGAGATATCATCCGCCGTATATGACAAATGGTAATTTCTATAAAATCAATTATTTTAGAATTATTTTTTCAATCTATAATTTAAACTCGCCCTTACATTGTCATAAGATAAATATTTTCAAACTTGAACAAAAGTTTAAAGTGACAAATCTAACCCCATTAAATATTTGTGGTACTACCTTATTACCCAATACCCATGAACAAATACAAATCACACACTCTAAAATCTAAAAACAAAAAACATACTATACTTCCACAATCTCAATCGGTTGTAGAGTTGGGCCGAAACCTGGATTTGGGCAGAAACCTGCCCAATGGAAGAATTAGATTTCGGCCCTAGGGTTCTATATTTCCTAAGATACCATATTCTTCCTCTTCTCCAAAAAGAAGTGCCAGAGGTTTCCCATTCCCTGCAGCCGTCAAATTAGCCTCCGCCGTAAGTCTAAACCCTAGTTTGTGTACGCCATTGTTTCATTTATATCGTCTCCTGATTCAGCTTATTTCATGATTGGTATGATGTGTAAAAATGCGAAACATGCTGAGGTTATGAACTAGTTTAGTGTGAAGTATTTTTAATTTCAAAATACTGTTTGACATTTTTGCGTAGGTGATTTGGTATTATGATTTTCTGTGTTAGAGTTTTAGAAATTTACCTCCTGTAAGGCGGAAGATTCATTATAATGCTAGAGAACTGAGTGATAAGTATTTTGTTTCAACTCGTGTTGGTGAATTGTGAGATTCGTATGATAAGACATCTATATGGGGCAATTGTTTATCTAATCTAAACAAAAAGTCGCATTTTGTGGGAAAGACTTCAGTTAGTTGTTACTCTGAAATCGACAGAAAGAGAGAGTGGATATGCCGGTAAGCGCTACAATGGTAGGAGCTCTTCTGGGATTAGGGACCCAGATGTACTCTAACGCCTTACGGAAGCTCCCCTACATGCGCCGTAAGCAGAAAATCCCTTCCCCACCTCCCCACCCCTCTCTTTCAATTCTATTTTTTGAATTCATACCTATAATAATAATAATAGTGAAATTTTCAGATCCGTGGGAGCATGTGTTGGGAATGGGGTTGGGAGCTGTTTTAGCTAACCAGATGGTGAAGTGGGAAGTCAAGGCTCAGGGGGACCTCGACAAATTACTTATCAAGGCAAAGCAAGCCAATGAACGCCGCTACTTCGGTATGGACTCCTCATAATTTTTTTTTGTAGCATAAGTGAAGCTCAATATCTAAAAGCCTCATAAGATCTTCTTGTTTTAAAGATTTATCCAATCCTAGAGATAATAAATAATATTCTCATGAGTGAATTGGGGTTTCTACTCAAACATACCTAAATAGATCTATTTGATATTTTATTTGGTCCGTGAGTCCGTCAATCAATTTTAAAATTAAGAAAAAGAGGATATTTCATATGCCATTGTCCTAGTCTTCAAGGTTAATTGCTCCGGAAATGCTTTGTAAGTAGTGTTATTTGGCCACTCAGTTGCAAAATTTACTTACGTCGTCCACTTCCTAACATATGTTTGTAAAATGTGGCAACCGTGGTTTTCAAAGGAAAAATTAATTATTTGCCAGTTTTTCACAAGACATCAACAAAAGTCAGGTGTCTGAAGTATATCAATAAACAGAGCAAGTGATCAAATTGAAAGTGAATTGTTGGAGGTTGCATATGTATGTTAGTAAAGGTTGATGTTGGCAATGGTTGCTAATTGCTGAGAACAATTTGTATTTTAGGCAGTGGATATTTTCACTTAATCAACATTAAGGGGCATGTACATGTTGTAAAACAATAATTTGTTTTGCTTTCATGCTTAACTTGATGTGAACTCTTTTACTTGTTGAATCGGTGATGGACTTTGCAAACCTCTGTAATTATGTTCCCTTTTGGTTATAAATTTGAGTGCTTTATAAGGCATTAGGCTTTTGTTGCGATAATACTACTATTCTTTTCATAGAAAGTTGTTTGTTTTGTCACCATTTGAAGTACAATCTGAATGCCTGAATTTTGATCTTCCTTTTTGTTGAGGGGGCGTTGGGGGGTTAGTTGCCTCTCAGTTCTCCCCTCCTTAGTTGCCTTGCTTTAGCTCAATATTTTAAGTTTTTCATTGTTCAAATTGCTTTTGTTTAGATTGACATGGCCTTACCATTTTTGCATACCTCGATTCATCCATGTATTTCCTTTATATAATACTTTTTGATCTTGTTATTGCAGATGATGATGAAGACTAATAGCTGTATGGTTAGGGTCAAAGCATGTTTCACAGAGCTCACTCTTCAGAGAATTTCATTCTTGTGATGCTTATGTTATAACTTTGGACAATTGTTTGCCTAATCTGTTTGTTTGCCAATTTTACGGATTCCGCAAGTATCTTCATGATAATAAAATATGTACCTGTACCTTCATTTATGTTCTTCTTGCGTAGGACATTTTGTTACTTCTCAGTTTTTGTTAATTTGTTCATGGAAAGTAATAACTAAAAATATATTTCTAGTAATGAAAGTTAAACTGCTAAACCCTAAACCCTAACCCTAAACTCACAATCTGATATTTCAACTTTCACTCTAGAACCCTAGAGCATTCAACGGCCTCACACCTAGAGAGCAAATCCAATCAACCAACGATGGTATATCAAAAACATCTTAGAAGATTTCACAAAGCCCTTATCACTTAGTTTTTGACTTTTCGGGAATATCTTAGCGGATGAATTAGTAGTTACAAAAATGTAAACTTAGGTAAATGTTTTAGAAACATATGTATAAAAACACCATATTTCATTTAGCCCCTTCATGCTTACTATAACTAGTTATTTTGGTTTTCTACTAGTGGCTTTAACTATAGCTTCAGCTCTATTTATTTGAAAGAAAGAATTCAGAAAGAAAATCCTTCTGTGAGATTCTGTGTATTCTATAGGTACTTACCGCATTAATTGTAAATTCTTGGTCATTGAGATTCACGTCAATTCGGATTAATATTTAGGTATAGAATTACCTCTTTTTTTTCTCCTTTTCAAAAAATTGAAATGATTGAAGTTTTTCTATTTGGAATCGTCTTAGGGCTAATTCCTATTACTTTGACTGGATTATTCATAACTGCATATTTACAATACAGGCGTGGTGATCAGTTGGACCTTTGATTAATTAACATTTCTTTTTTTGATTGGCCTCCGCCTTTCTTTAATCCAAAGGAGGTCAAATTCTAATTGTTGTGCAAGTGACTGAATCCATTTCAGTCTAATTTGATCTACAAGGAAAAAAGCACACTATGTAGGATTTGAACCTATGACATCGGGTTTTGGAGACCCACGTTCTACCGAGCTGAACTAAGAGCGCTTTCTTATCAGAATAGATAAGACTGTAACTTTCTAGTTATTGCAATTCTAGTTATATGAATAACGACTCTACGAGTGAAGATTCCTTATAATAATTGTATTGTAGCGGGTATAGTTTAGTGGTAAAAGTGTGATTCGTTCTATTAGCTCGTTAATAGTTAACGGGTCTTTCAGTTTTATTCATATTCTTCATTACCTAAAATAGAATAACCGCTTAGAATAACAAAAGAGATTATATTTGTCCATAAGTGCAAAATCGTATGAATACGATCCTCGTTGTGTATCTTGATTAATTGGAAAATCTGATTTCTTTAAAATTTGTTCGTATTTTCCGTGGATAAATACATGAAATCAAAAAAGATGAAAATATAATGTTTGATGTTTGATTCTTATGACATGATGTCCCCTGGACACTGCTATTTTAGTACTATTATAGAACAAATTTGGAGCAGTTATTTTCTGCTAAATTATACATGAAGTCTTTGTAATATATTTAGTATTGAATAATTGGCCAGTATATGGAACCCTTACTGTGGTGAAAGCAAGATTTATGGCATGTGAGAATGAAATGCTGGTGTTGTGTAATTATTGTTTTTGAATTAATTGGATGGTTTTTACATTGAATTTTTTGATAGGATAAGGAAATCAAGAGGTTTTTGGTGAGGAATATAGTTGAGCAACCTGCTGTAAGAAATGTTCATGAAGCTACTGCTCTTGAGAGTAAGCTTTTCTGTGGCATCAATTGGTTGTTATCTGTCATGTCATCGTTCCCTGTTAAAATTCCATTATGAAGAGATAGATGGTTGATCTAATCCATTCCTTGTACTTAATTTTAGTGTACAACCTTCCTATGCTGTACTTGAAGATGCAGTACTGTGTTTCATGTGCTATGCTATAGGGTTAGTTTTCTATACCTCGTCAGAATTTTCATTTTTTCGATGCTGTTGTGTTTGTATTGATCCTTGTATACATGAGTTACCAGATATGTGACTTAAACTTGCATGGTAGATATGCTTTACTTCTGATTTATTTCATTCATGCTTACAATCCCAACAAAGCCCCATTTCCCTTGAATGGTACATATATCAAGATTCACTTCCCTCCTTGGCTTGTGTAGACATATTTAAGTAGACATTTTGCAATTGTTCGGATAATTTTCTTTCCCTTTCATCAAATTAAATTAACTTAAGGTATAATATTGAATGGCTCCTAAAAATGCTATTAAAGAAGGAATGTAAAGAGCACTTGGCAGCCTGTGAAATAGGGATCATTTCTGATAAACGTAGCTATAATCTCTCAAATGATTATGCTACGCTTTTATGAGATTCTGCCGTTGTCGCAAATTTTCTCCAACTTTCTAAGGATCATGCAGAATAAAAATTCTTCTCTTAGGTAAGCTCACATGGTATTTCTTTTGTTGTCACTTGAATTTGAATGTTTTTCTGCTCTCCTTGTTAGTGTGGGAACATGAGATTAAAATTGTTTTCCAAGTTGATGAGGGGTATTTCGCATACGCCACTTTAGGAAATACTTTCTGCTCGAGCTCGGCCTCGATCCCGACCAGAATGGTATTCTCCGACCATAAGAACATGGTTTTCCGATCAAGCCCGGTTGATAGCTCTAGATCAAGTATTCCGACCTACTTCCCGATCTACTCGTCTCCTCGAATTACTGTGGGGCCGACCTACAGCTTTATACAGCTGGCCGAGAGGTGTTCTCCTACGGATGGTCTAGCTAGCTCATTACTGTTCCTATAAATACGCGGCGCATTTATGACATCAGGACGGCACAACTTCCAAGATATCCCTTCTGCTCGGACCTACTGTTCGAACTAGGAACCAGTTGTTTATTCTTTGTATCTACTTTCCTAGTTAGTACGGCATCCCGTAATGCTCGGGTAGACCTGCCTTGTAATTTATATTCGATTACCAATATTAATATACAGTTTTCACATGCTCGATTCATATATTGTTATTCCCCACTTTCCTTATTGAACTCGAACGAAATACGGTATAATCAATTGGCGCCCACCGTGGGGCCTACTCGGGTGTTAGATCGAAATATGCCTACTACTAGGAGATTTACGTACAATCGAGGTGAGCCTTCACACGCCGTAGGAGCTCAACGTTCTGTAAAGAATGAACCAAGTAATGCGATTACACCTTGGCTGTGTGAGATTTTCGTGTTTTTGCCATTGTCACTCAACTAGAAGCTGAATTCATCCACAACTCACTCATTATTGGATGGATTTCTGATTTTCTTGTTGCTGCTTACTCCCCTCACCATCACGATCATTCCTATACTTCCAATTTTACATTCTACTGCTGATTTCGTTCGATGGCAAAAAGTTCACCAAATTCGGCCTCTTCGTGATTCTGTGAATTTACGGCGTTTTGCTTCAAATTAGCTTCGTGATTCTGCTCCT